GTGAGTGAGTGAGTGAGTGAGTGAGTGAGTGAGTGAGTGAGTGAGTGAGTGAGTCACTGAGTGAGTGAGTCACTGAGTGAGTGAGTGAGTGAGTGAGTCAGTCAGTGAGTGAGTGAGTGAGTGAGTGAGTGAGTGACTGAGGGAGCGAGCGAGCGAGCGAGCGAGTGAGTGAGTGAGTGAGTGTCTCTGTCTCTGTCTCTGTCTCTGTCTCTGTCCCTGTCCCTGACACTGTCTCTGTCTCTGTCTTTGTCTCTTTCTCTTTCTCTTTCTCTTTCTTTTTCTCTTTCTCTTTCTCTTTCTCTTTCTCTTTCTCTTTCTCTTCTTCTTTCTTTCTTTCTTTCTTTCTTTCTTTCTCTCTCTCTCTCTCTCTCTCTCTCTCCCTCTCTCTCTCTCGTCAAAGGGGCTCTCAAGGCAGCAGGCCCCAAGCTCGCGCCCATTTCACTTCATGGTGGTCACGATGCGACACAGTAAAATGCCCCCCTTGGGCCAAGATGGCACACATGCGCAATTGTGTGCAGATGATGATCGGGCAACGCATGCGAATGCACGGATTTCACACTGCTCAATTTTTCTTTGACCGATCATGCTCCTCATCGCGAAGCTGGGCCAAGAAGCCAGCAGCGCATCTGCTCCCGGAGCTCCAGGTCCACCTTCGTGAGGGGGTCTGCGTGCTGAAGATGAGTCGGAACCCAATGGTATGACTCAGCCGACACCGTCTCCTGCACCGCGCGGATGCTAATCAGTGACCGCTTATCGCTGAGCGTGTTGCCTTGCGACACCACACAGTCGTAGAGCGACTTGGCGTCCGTGACCTGCTGATGCCAAGGTTGACCGGCAAATCTTGCGCTTCTGCATGAGCGCATCTTTTGCAGAGCACACTTCCTCTTCTTGGCAGAGCACACTTCCTCGTCTTGGCAAAGCACACTTCCTCTTCTTTGCAAAGCACACTTCAGCATCTTTGCAGAGCACACTTCCTCTTCTTGGCAGAGCACACTTCCTCTTCTTGGCAAAGCACACTTCCTCTTCTTTGCAGAGCACACTTCCTCTTCTTGGCAGAGCACACTTCCTCTTCTTTGCAGAGCACACTTCCTCTTCTTTGCAGAGCACCTCTCTCTTTAGAGGTGGTTTCCCAAATGGATTCTATTCCACCTGGTTGTCTCCTGGCACTCGTCAAAGGAAACCCCTTTTCCATTTTTCCGGGACCATTTTTTTTGGACCCTTTTTTTTCTTTTTTTGTTTTTTTCTTAGCCCTGCAAAGGTTGGCTTGCTTGAAATGCAACCTGGAGGCAAATTTGCAAGCATATCTAGGGTCGTTATGTTGCAGCCACACGCCTGCACGCAGCGTTTTAGATTTCCTTCGCAGGACGAGGTCGTTTCCTGGACGGACGAGTGCCAGGAGCCTACCAGGTGGAATAGAATCCATTTGGGAAACCCCCTCTAAAGAGAGAGAGAACCACTGTTACACCGGGCAGCCCCATTCTGCGAGCGAGGACATCCAGCCAGGCGGAACAGCTCCAACTGAACCGAGCACACACCTCACTCACACCAGCGCCTTGCTTCAAGCAGGCAATTATCTCCAAATCACAGGGCGTACCGCACAGCAAGGCAGCACCAACATAGTGCCAATGTCCACCATGTTCGTGGCGGCAAGAAATGCAAAGACCACCACTGGCAAGGTGGTGTTTGCCGTTTGGCCCCAAGCTTGACATACTCGCCTAGCACTTCATCAGGATAGCGTGGTTGCCAGCTGTCAGTAATGGTTTCTAACCCGTCCCTGAATCACAAGGGGGTGAAAGCTGTTGCCAGCGACGTTGAGCTTGAACGTGTCAGCAACCTCAAACAAGCCTTGTAAGCCACAGCATGTGTGAGGACACGGAAGGGCAGACGAATAGGCGCGATCAAGGCAGGACTTTAATGAATCAACCTGTATGTTTTTTGCTGATGTTCCAGCTGGAGAATTCTTGCACATCTTTGGCGAACTCCTCTCTGCCCCAAAATGTCGCGTAGTGGCAGGAGAGCATTGGCGATAAGCTGCGAACGTGTGGAATTCGGGTGTTGTTCCATTGTGAACAGCCAAAACATTGTTGCTGCAAGTGGTCTCCTGACCAGCCCACCAAACCGTAAGGTAAAAGATAAAAAAGGGGGAGCTTTGATGTCCAGTCAAGCCATACTCACCTCGGCCATATCCAACAGCAGTAAGCTCTTGACACGGCGAGCCACCGAGGATCAGGACAGCCGAGTGAGGGGCAAGGGCTTTGCTTCCTGAAGGGCTGAGCGCCGTGCTGAACGACATGACACACGTCTTCTAAATACCGATGTCAAAGCCTGCTCTGCAATTACAAAAATTGACGGTAAGACTGGACTGGCACTAGCGGTTGCAGGAGCATCCCAACCACGCACGGACGAAGGTGCGCTAGCACATCCATCCGTGTCAGGCTCCAGTTGCCACCGCTCCCTCCTTTGAGTATGGCCTTTCGAATTGGATGTGCACCTTGGTGTAAGCAAAGGGCAGCACCTACTTCTACAGCGCTATCTTCCGCTATGACCTGATCAGCAATTCATGCCATTCACTTCGTGCCGGATCATTGAAGTCACCAGGCAAGGTTCTGGAAATGCCGATGCGAGAGGTTGCCGTCTTCTTTCGTTGGATAAGAACATGAGTTACCACAGCCTTAGTAGAAGATTACCAACGTGTGCCCCCCATTGGAGTCGTAGCTAGAACATGCACCACCACCACAATGGGTTGACATGATGTCTCTGCATTCTTGCGTGAAGGCGCCCCAAGTGGTGCTTTGCCCAACCAGCCCTGTCCGGACTGTCGGGCCAGTATTGATTGACAGGCTGCTCTCTGCAGGAGATATCTGGCAAGTTTCACTCATTGCTGGCAAAAACGGCGCGCAGATCAAGGACTTCCCGTCTGCCGCCATTGCTGCTGCTGCCATTGCTCAGGAAGCGCGTTGTGGTGGACCAGGTGCTCCCCCTGACAGCGGTGTCACCGCTGCCATTGCTGCTTTTGTTGCATTTCACCCAGAAGGTCCCCATTATTATCTTTTTGAAATTGGCAGTAATGAAGTCCGTACTGTTGAATGCATTTCGTACATGCAAAGGCTTGATGGGAAACGACTGTCGACATGTACCGCCACAAGCGCGGCAGCTGAGTTTGTAGGAGCCGATGCAGTAATAGCAAAGTCACAACCACTGGTGGAATGCTCAGCGTTGCCCCAGCTTGCATCCAAGTAGGTGAGCAGCACGCATTCCTTGTCAATGGGACATCCTGCATGACGATTCCGTCCTTCTCAGTGCGCTTGATGTAGTTGAGGCACACGAGGGGGCGAGGTTCTGGGTGGTTGCATTTGGCTAAGCGAAACCGTAGCTGAGACTTCGGGCCTTGCTTGGGCGGCTGCCCATTGGCGGCATCCACCAACGCTCCTGAGCTCAGCGCGCTCATGGGGTTGCAACTTCTCGTCTTGGGCTAAGCGACCGCGTGGAGGGGCCATGGAAATGAGCATGGTGAACCTGCCGTCCGTGTCCTTCCGAATGGTCAGCTCCCTGCCCTTGAAGGTGTAGGGCTCAAACAAGAGCTTGTGGACTTGCTGGATGTCATAGTCCTCCCGGAAGCAGCCAAGAAAGTCGTCCACGTAAATCGTGATGATGGAGTCGGTGGCATTTTTTTTCCGCACCATTTTCCGTGCAGCGAGGGTGAGACATGTTGTTTTTCGTGCAAGCAGGGTGAAGCGCTTTCGGCGACAAGGGCGGAGGAGCCTTCCCCGCCGTCGTGCCGCCACGGCCCGGGGCCCATCAGCCGGCCCG